AAATTTTTTAATATTAGCTTGAATGTGAATTTTCTAATATCACATCTAACCTCTCTAAAAATTCATATTGGCCTATTAAAAAACAAAACGATGAATTATTGCGTATTAATATTAACTTAAACGATGAATTATTATATATTAATATTAACTTATAAATAATAAGAATAAGCATTATTGTGCCCTTTTATAAAGAATTATAAAAGGTCACAATAATTCTAATTAAAATAAAGGTCACAATAATCCTAAATGAAAAAAAGACAGAAAACTCTAATTTTAAACAAAATACCAATTGTCAGATGAGTGGAAATTGTTTATCAAAAAACATGGTATATAAATGTGTTATTTCCTTTAAGAATGTACCTGATTAGCATATATTAGCTCAATAGAATGGAAAAAATGTTTTGCCAATTGTTATCCTTAAACCAGCACCTACATATATAAATATTTCCAAAATTAAGGTAATTTTCAAAATTTACTTACCAAGAACCTAAAGCTATTTTTCTTTGTAGCCTATTGAGCTTTGTAGTCAAAAATAGTTGATCGAATCATATACAAAATTGATTTTTCTATTTTACAGAATCTTTGTACCAAGTTTTCAAATTTAAGTGTCAAAGAATCAAAAATCAATCAACAATAAAAGTCGATTATTTTTTGAATCTATTGACACTTAACCACAGCTACATACAATAAAAATCATAATAGAGCTAAAATAAAAATAAAATAATTTATTATAAATTAATAATCAAAAGTGGAAATTGTTTATGAAAAAACGTGGTATAAATTGTGCTATGTAGCTCCATCCAAAAGCATACAACCTTAATATTAAAACTGTGTTTGGCAACAGTACATACTAACACATATGTGTAAGTACCTTTTTATACAGTAAGTAATACATTATAACAATATGTTAAGTATGGACATATCTTATATATATAATACTTTATCTTATATATTTTCTCTACTTATGGTGATTTTGGTTTTTGCTGCGTCTAATTCCTTTTTATGCGTATGAGCAGAAATATATTTTTTTATAGAAAAAAAGTTGAAGCAACGTCCAAAATATCACTATATATATAAGAAACATTGTTGTTAAATTTGAAAAAAAAAATTACAAATTGCTACGGTTAGAAGTTGAGTAAGTTGATTTTGAAAAAATAAAAAAATTACTGACTCATACTAAAATAGCATTCAAGAAAACTGAAGGTTTACCTCGCCAAGATCATTTTTACGCTTGTTTAATTTCTTTAATATTGAAACTAAGTTATCAATCTGCTGATTTACTTTAATTATAAAATAAAAATTTATCATTAACAAACCAAAAACATTGTCATATAAAATGTTCGATGTAGTCAAGGACCGCAGCCATTTTAAAAGATCTAACTTTTTTTTTTTTTTTCAAGTTGATTAAGGTGCCCCAAGAAGTCCTTACGGTCTTATCACAGAGCACCGCGGAAGAGCATTTAATAGGAAGTTCACGCCTCCTTCCCAACCGATGTCGCAAAACTTGCCTAGAGGTGGGGTTTGAACCACGGATCTTACGTTTCTGAGGACAGTGCGCTACCACTGCGCTACGGCTGCTCGTTAATTTTTGAAAATTAATTGACGCATGCGTACCTAAACAGCGCATTTGCCTAATATCGAAACGACCGTGAGAAAGTAAACAAAGCATCGAAAACGAAAGGCTAAGCGAAGACATCATGACGAACAGAAACTAGTATAAAGAAATGGTCGAGTCGGATGATTTTATAAGCGAAGTCGGAAAGGTGACGTAAGAAATCACTTTTTAATTTGTTTTTAGTTTAAATTTTTTTATTTTGTTTTTACACTATAGATTCCTACTAAACTGTTATAAAAACGAGTTTTCTTGAAAAAAAAAAGTGCGCTAAAATTAGAAATAGAATGATAATTCTTTTTTCTAACGCTATTATTCTCACTTTATTAATCCCTGGAAACCACATTTTAACTTTTTGGTCACTTAACTATGGCAGTATAAATTCTAACCAACCATGTTAATGGCCTCAACATTAAGACCAAAGGAAAAAACTTGATAAATTTCTTTCAAAGTTTAAATGAAAACATTTTCTGTATAAAAGAAACTCGTAGCACTAATATAACTGCGAATGAATGGGCGATGGAGTGGAAAAATAAAAGCCATGGAACTTCTATACAAAATATTGGAATACGCCGTGAAGGCGGCGTTGCTATTCTATTTAAAAAAGAAACAAAACAATTTTGAAAGATAAAAAAAAGAAACAATTTTGAAAGATAAAAAAAGTAGAATTCTTGCTGCCACCGAAATCAAAAAAAAAATTAAAATATGGATGATAAATATTTACGCACCCAATATACACTCATATTATGTAAATTTTTTTTAGAAATTAAACAAATACGCGTGATTTTATGGCTATCTTTTATTATTGGGAGACTTCAATATGATTGAAAATTTAAAATTTAGATAGGGAAGTTGGAGACTTATACAACCTTGATCACCAAATAGGTGTAAAAAATCTAAATCTTTTTAAAAAGCAACATAAAGTTTGAGGAAAAATGACGTTTTTAGAACGTTCTTCACGCATGAACGAGTCACTTACAAAAAAGAAGACAAATCCTTTAAAAGTAGAATACACCGTTTATACGCTTCTAATGAACTAATCAAACACAACAAAGAATTTGTTTTAAAAAATGATCTAAGCGACCATAAAGCTGTTTTATTAAGTACAAATAATTTAACAAGAAGGGACCAGGCTACACACAAATCTCAACACAAATTTATTAAGTGATGCAAACTTTGAAAATAAACTATTTAAAGATTTTGAAAAACAAAAAAATAAAAAATTTAAATACAAAAGTAGTAATCCGCATTTGAGACACCATAAAAACAGCAAAAACTAAAAAAACGCAAAAAAAACAAACAACAAGAGGCATTGGTTAGAAAAACGAATTGAGTTAGAAAAAAATAAAACTAGCATAGATTATGAAAAAATTAGACAACTTCAAAAGAAGAAAAAATAAAAAAGAAAGCGAAAAGCCAACAAAATCCCTTTTTCAAATGGAAAGAGATAACCAAGAGAAAAAAACGATTAAAAGTTTTCAAGATGGGGATTGTCTACATAAAAAAACAAAAATCATTCTAAAAACAAAAAGAATTTTTTTACAAAAAACAAATTTAAAACGTAGAAAAACAAAAACATTTTATCGATAAAATTGAAAATACTCTAAACGATGCATTGTTTACGTCATCGCGATGACCGAAATGATTTTTTAAACATTCCCCATTTAGCAGCGAAGAACTCTACAATGTTGCATAATCCCTCAGGGGCTGTCCATTAATTACGTCAACAATTTTTTTGAAATTTTTACCTCCCCCCTTCCCCCTTGTCAACAATTTGTCAAATTTCCAGAGACCCTCCTTAAAATTACGTCAATTTTTGAATACCCCCCCTCTCCTATAAAAGAGGTTACGCAACAAATTCAGCCAAATTTTTCGTTATTTAAACAATTAAACTTAATAATAATAAAAAAAATTGTTGACATTAACTTTAATTGACCTCCCCCCTCTCCCCCTTGTTAATAATTATCAAAAAAGTTCAGACCCCCTCCCCCTATTTTGTTGACGTAATTTATGGATAACCCCTAAGCGAAGGAAGCATTGATGGCATCCTAATTGAATTTTACTAAGAATACTGGGACAATAACGAGCTGACTTAACTTTGTAACAAAATAATTAACTTAAACAACTAGCCAAAGGTATTGTGGTTTATCCTCCTCCGGTTTTTTTTTTTTTTGCCAACCAACTAGGGACACCTGCTGCTGAAACCAGACTTACACAGGGTCTTACTAGAAAGCCGGTGTTATTAAGGAGCCGAAACTCCATATTATGGCCTATTTAAGGGTTTTAAGTATGGCCCATTTAAGGGTTTAGTTGCCAATCAGCCAAAACTGAGGAGCGCCCACTTAAGGGTTTACCTCTATTTAACGTTCGGAGTGGACAGATCGCCTTAAGATTTTCGGACGTAGAAGGAGTCATTGAAAAAGCGACTACGCCAAGAACCTCTATCGACTGTCACGGCTTTGATCTTGTGCTGTTTCTGCTTTCTAACAACAACGTAACCAATTGTGAAATGGTCCGGAGCCGAAATAAGAACAGATACTACCACTTGATCTTAGCCATTAGGCCGAGAAGCGATCAGAAGGCTAGAAGGCCGAAAAGCGGATTTTTCCGTCAGACCAGAAGGATTTTCTCTGTCAACTAGTTAAATAACTTGGTTTTAAAGAAAAGAACATTGTAATTAACCTTTTATTTACAGATTAGCTACTAAATTGCTTGCGGGTTTGTTTTTAAAAGTCCATTGAACCAATGGGCCACAAGGGACATATGCGTGTTCGTGTTTAAAAATTATCACGACGATTAACCCACGACCTTAAAATGAAAACACACATCTTTGCTGTCTCCGAACGGCTAGGGTCATGCTCGTGTTTGTGTTTTAACTATGGTCAAGATCCGTTTGTTTTATTTAATGATATAATATATAACTAGATGTCTAACTTGCGGGATTTTATTGGACAAAAAGTGAAGCCGCTTTTTTTTGTGTATAACAATAGCCCGCCATTTGTAAAAACTAGGAAAAACTGTAGCGGAAGTGTAGAATAAAAGTGAAAAATGTTCCCAATAAATTAAAGATAATTTAAAAACACGTTTTAACATTTAATAAATACCTTTAAAAGTTTTCCTATGAGCCAACGTTTATTCAAAAGTATTTTAATTCATAAAAATGCTTCAAAATAGTAAGACGTTTTACTTTTCTATTCAAAACTTTAATCCCTTTTTAGTCAAAAATTAATTAAGAAATCAAAAATTATTATTTTACAAGTATTATAATTTTTGCTTAACACTTTTACGCAAATAGTATTTAAATTTAAAATATATTTACTTCATTTAAGAAAAGAAAAGTTAAAAATATTTGTTTACAAATTTAATCCATCATTTGTAAAAAGGGCAAAGAGCGGCTCTACTTTTCGTAATGAAGTTAGACATCTAGTTATTTAATATATCATTGGTTTTATCTAATGATTCTAATTTCAATCAAATACAATTCACCATGTTTAAATAGTGAATTTTAAGTCTTGGTTGTTGCCTTTGTTTTTTGCGTTATTTACCGAGAACATTTTGTGAAACCTTTCTACATTGTTTTCTCTGGAATATTCGTTATACTGGATTTTCCAGATGGATTTAATTTCTTTTAGAATATTTTCAACTATTCATTTTGCAGCACATGAATAGTTGAAATTATGATTTTCTTTTAGCTTGGAGTTTCTACATTTCCAAAGTATTCATAAGTGGTAATATCAGTTCGTTATGATTTTTGAAATAAAGTTTTTTCTAGGCAGGTTCTATATATTAATTAAAAAGAGGGCGTGTACCTAATTAAAAGGTTTTGATAAATGTTTCTTATAGATTTCCACACAGTTCTCGCCTTACTGCAGAAGATAAACGGATGAAGAGTGTCCTTAACTTAGTTGCATGCTTTGCAACAAGCGTTTTCAGGGAATTGCACGCGTTTAATTTTCCATTTTAACTTTTCTAAGGTGGAAAGGGAGTTGGTAATTTTTCGCCATAACGTGTTCTTACTTGTTACCTGTGCATCTTACTTGTTTCCTGTTCTCCCAGATTTGTTTCCAAGGAAGTGGTTTTTGGAATATTGCTTTCCATGTTTATTGAATTAGTTTTAGACTTTTGTTTTCTCCTAGTTGATAAATATGAGTGTAAATGTTTTTTGATGTTTTTTGTTTGATTTTAAAGATTTCAGTGTTGTTCCTATTTTTTTAAATAACGTCTTTATAAAAATAGGGTAGCATGCTTTTTCAAGGGAGAAACATTTGCGGGTATTTAGTTTTGGCTAAGTATGTTAGAGAGTATGCTAAATAATAATTTTGTAAGAAATATCCCTCTTGACATTCGATTGTTTCTTTTATTTGAAATATGTATTTTATTCTGATGGCAAGGGATTGATTTTTTGCATCAAGAATGTCTGGCTTCTCCCCCCCCCCCTCCTCTTCTTTTACAGGTAGTTTTAGAATTTCTTATTTTAAAGGTTCAGAATATGCCAAAGGTAGGTTGATATTCCCTCATCAATTTTTTTGATATCAAGCTTTGATATAGGATATTTTTGATATAGGAAATGCATTCACAACGTACCATACCTTTGACAGAGCAAGACTGTTAATGAAGCTTCCTATAGATTTTAGAGAGATATTTCGGTATTTATAATTTAAAATTTTTTTAAAAAGTTTTTTATTGTATTATGTGAATTTAGTCTGCCTGTATAGACAAGGTTTGTGTGAAGGGCTAATATTACTTGTTATTGCATTATGCCAATTTAGTATGCCTGTATAGACAAGATCTGTGTATAAGGCTAATATATATATATATATATATATATATATATATATATATATATATATATATATATATATATATATATATATATATATATATGTATATTTATTTTTGGGACTTTTCAGCCGTTGTTTATTTATATAAATTATTAAAAATTATTTATAAAAAAGTCACGTATATTCATATGTCTTCATCTGTTTTCTTTTCGTGTTGTTTTGTTTCTTACTTTAATCGGTTTCCTGTGATTGATTTGTTATCTTTGTTATTTATGCGTTTTCTAACTGTTGTTTGTTTTAAATCTTGTACCTAATACATTTGTTTGTGAAGAGTTTCTTCATAGGTTTGGCTTTTGTAAATTTCTTTTTTTTTCTTTTTTTTTCTTTTTTTGTCCTCTTAGGTTGAATCTCAGGCAAAGGATTGAGAGCTTTGTTCCACAAGTGGATTGATTTGAAAATCTTTTGGCACTTGCCAAGATATCTTCAGACATTTAACGTCCATAGGACGGATCGCTTTTGAGAATTCTGGAAAGCACCGCGCAAAATGACGAGAGCCATTGAACGAAGATCCCGTCAGCCCCCAGCAAACGAGGCAAACTCCCCTGTCCTATCATGGACCAGCAGAGCACACCGTACCGGAGCGACCAAATCAGGAAACAATGCACCCACTAGTCCACCCAAGCGCTGAAAAAGGCGACACTCCGCACTACCCGAATTGAGCCGAAGTAATATTTACACCAGAAGAAAAAGACAGGATTTTACTAACTAAAATCAGCAATTCTAAAATATGTCGCTTACATCCCTAGTCAACGTGGCATGGGACATTATCGCATTGACTAGGAGTTACATGACTAAGAGCATATTTTAAAAAGAGACCTCAAAAATTAGTTCCTTCACATAATCTAAGCCGTTATATTAAGAAGCAACACCGGATAAAACACAGGGATTAAACACTAAGTAGAAACCACAAGAAAAACTAAAAAGTTTCAGTTTGTGTTTTTTTTTTTCGTATAAGCCCAATTATTTAATATTTTTATTTTTTATTTATTTTTTATTGATCCTTAAATTGGGTCATATATTATGAACTTCTTTTGTTTATTTGGCATTTTATATTTTTTTTATTTTTATTTCAGTTTTTTGTTTTTATTTCAGTATTTCTTTAATCTTATTTTTAAGAAAGCAAATATTTTAAAGAAAAATTTCAGAATGTTATAAGATAAGGTCCTTATATATTTACTATTTTTATTGTTTTTAGTATTTTTCAAAATTTTTTTTTCTTTAAACTTTGATAGTATTTTATATTGTAATAATAAACTTTTGTTCTGTTATTATAATTTCAAATCTCTTCGCTATGGTCGTACATGGTCGTTATGGTCGTATACACACTTTGAACTTGTATGTTGCTTTTATTATACACACTTGCTGATCCTACGTCTCTCTTGTATACTCTGTTTCTTGCCATTTGTCTTTTAGTTTTTTTTGATCGTACTCCGCTTTTCTATATGCTTTATATTTTTGTAATTCCTCTGCTGCGCATTTGGTCTTCTCAAATCCATAAAAAAGATTCAGATTGTATATACGCATTTCACAGTAATTTAGTTTACGAAATTCAAAAAGAAAGTTCTATTATTTTTTCTGATTTTGTTGATACTTCCTCCAAAGTTGTTTTTGTTTTTGCCATGTTGCTTTTATTGTGATTTTCGTTTTTTTTTCAATATTTTTATTTTCATACTTCTGGTTTTCATCCAGATGAGCTTCTAGTTCTTGTGTTTTATTACTTGTTATTGATGAGTGTGCTGTTTCTTCTGGTATATTCGGTTCACTTGGCTTTATTTTATTCGCGTCATTGGTTTTGTGCTTTTCAATTTGAATTTCAAAAGAGTTTTGGCATGTTTCCAAATGGGCTTCTCATTCTTGTGTTTTAGTATTTTCAGTTGGTTTAGGCGTTTCTTTTAATTTTTTAGTTTAGGAGTCTCGGATTCTTTTTCTCTCGATTCTTCAGCTACTTTTGTTAAATTATCTTTTGTGGTTTTATTTATCTTCTTTGTTTGTAATTTTATCTAACTTTAAATTAATCTATTTTTGATAGTTTGTTGGTTATTATAAAAAAGCATCATTAGCAACAACATTTTATATATATATATATATATATATATATATATATATATATATATATATATATATATATATATATATATATATATATATATATATATATATATATATATATATATATATATATATATATATATATATATATATATATATATATATATATATATATATATATATATATATATATATATATATATATATATATATATGTATATATATATATATATATATATATATATATATATATATATATATATATATATATATATATATATATATATAAATAGCAGTGGGAAATAAAAACAATGAACGAAAAAGAAAAAGAAGCTATAATAGGTTTTTGAAAAATAGTACTCTTAAAACAATAGTCAAACACCACCTCATTGTATCATTATTATTGTTGTAATAACTTTTCCGACAAATAGCGCCACCATATACTAGGTCCTTGAGGATTAAATAGTTGTTATAGGTGGAAGAATTGTGAATAAGGGGTTGATAATTACTAGCCTAAAGTAAATATTACTATGTGATTTTAAAAAGAAAGATTTTAATGACTTACCTGATGATTCACTTCTCAAAAATTGCATTCGTAGAGAGAAAGAAAATTGTCTTTGAAGGACCTAATATCATAATATCGCGAGGTTAGAATTATTTTGTTCTATCTCCATTTTTTGCCGAAACAAGAAAATCAAGTTTAAAGTTTTAGTTGGACCTGCAGAATAAATAGCATAAAAAACTCAAACAAAACCGATTTTTTTTTCTTCATTTTGGACTCATTTCCTAAACAGGCTACCACAGTTTTAACAAAATTGTATTAAAATATATAAAGTGCAGGTGTCTGAATTACTACACCCTGATTTGGAGATACAGTGTTATTTTGTTCTATCTCCATTTTCTGTTTAAAAAAAATAGTACAAACTAGCATTTTTCATATATATTGTGGCAAAATGGTTGTATATTTTGGCTTTTAAAGTACTGTAAGGTACATATCTGTTTTATTAGAAAACAAAAAGCTTATTTTACACTAGTAAACAAACAATATAAACACACTATTTTGTCTAAAATTCAATTCAACACAGAAGATAAGTAATATATCATTTAAAGTATGTACCAAGATCTTCACAACAAAATAAAACTTTAGTTATAAGTTCTACAAGCATAACATCTAAAATACATTGCACAATAAAAAGATATCTTAAAGAACAATTAGTTAACCAGCACCTCTGGTAAGGCCATTAAAAATATAACATTTCAGTAAGAAACCCATTTAATAACATAACATATAAAACAAATACATTTTGACATAACAGTAAATTATTTTAAAACATACTTATCAATCAGCAATATTTACTGCAGACATATACTTTAACAGATTTTGAAGGACATTGGGCTAATGGCAGAGGTACTAATGTTTTTTGCCTTGAATAAGGATGTTCAAATTTCAAATTATTAAACCAATCATTGGCTTTATCATTTGAAATTGGAACACCCTTATTCAAGGCAAAAAGCATTAGTACCTCTGCCATGATAAAGATCGTAGATTGTTAACTCATGCTTTTGAAGAAACATTATTACATGGTTTCTGTAGTAAACATGATCTTAGTGCTAAATGCTTTATTTAGATATAGGGAACAAGTTTAAAATTAAAAAAACCTGCAATAGCTAACAAATGTTTGAATCCATCTTCTTTATTTGGTAGACATGAGAAAATTTTTTTTTTGAAGAGCAGAAGTCGCTCTGATTAAACAAAGGGGACTAAATATTTCAATAGGAGCAGAATTTGACTGTGGATATTATCAATCTCTTGTATACTAGAATTCCTTCGTCTTGAACTTTTGTTAAAATACTCTGATTTTGGGGTAACATACCACAAACCAAAAATCAACAAATATACGTGTTCATTTTTTACCACTGATATTTTGAGTGTATTTAAATTTACAAGAATTTAATAGTTCTTTTTTTGGTTAAATATTTGCATGAAACATTTTCTCCCTTTCTATTTTTATACAGCTGATTATCAGACTGTCTGAGCTGCTTTCTCACATTCTGTATCCAAGTTTTAGATAGTGACTTTTGTTTCCTAGTTTTTCTTTAAAGTAGGAGCAGACGACGAGCTGGTGCTATTTTATTTATTTATATACATATATATATATATATATATATATATATATATATATATATATATATATATATATATATATATATATATATATATATATATATATACATATATATATATATATATATATATATATATATATATATATATATATATATATATATATATATATATATATATATATATATATATATATATATATATATATATATACATATATATATATATATATATATATATATATATATATATATATATATATATATATATATATATATATATATATATATATATATATATATATATATATATATATTATTTATTTATTTTGATGTTGATAAATATTAAAAAAAAGAAATTACAATATAAGAAAATCCTGGCCGGAGCAAGAAGAAGACAGGTTGTCTTATCACCGAGCCCCGTCACACAAAAATTTACATGCACAATAAATGATAAAATATAAAAAGACAGTATAAATACAAAAACAAAAACAAATCAAAAACTTCAGTAATAAAATAATTTGTTGCTAACAATCTTCCAGCAGAATAATTTTAAATAAAATAAAAAAGTAAAAACGATAGAAAATCATGAAAGTTATAAAAACACACACAAAAAAAAAAAAAAAAAAATGCGTTGTTTAATTAAAAAAAAAGCAATATATGTAAACATAAGTGTTTAGGCTGATTATTTAATATAATCGAAAATATTTATCTTTTATACTAATGGTTTGAAACCATTTTAATAAAAGCAAAGAAAGTGATAAAGATGTAATTTATTTTTAAGTGATTTAGTTTAAACCTTTAAATTGTTTTCAAAAAAGGTATTTGAAATCTAATATATCGAGTTCCATGTTCAGTAAATGCCGTTTTGAATCATCCTTCATACTTTGCTAAGTGCAGTTAAAAACGAAGTTTTGTTTTTTACTAAAGATTGGAAGAAATTTTTTCCAAACTAAAGGTCCCCAATATTGAATTTGGTACGAACTTAATTTAAGAAGGTTTATGGGAACCATAAAGTTATTCACTGAAAATTAGGTTGGATATTTATGGAAGATTTCATTAAAGTAGGAAATGTTACTTGAGAAAACCCTATATATATATATATATATATATATATATATATATATATATATATATATATATATATATATATATATATATATATATATATATATATATATATATATATATATTTGTGTGTGTGTGTGTGTGTGTGTGTGTGTGTGTGTATGTGTGTGAGTGTGTGTGTGTGAACAAAAACATGTTTTACCATGTGAAGTTTTGTTATTGTTTTTCTGTCATAAAAACATCTGCTACCATTTTGGCGTAAATAACTTTTGATTGGATTAAACGGAGATAGCACATAATTTTAATTTTTAAACAGGATAAAATAAGAAGATTGAACAAATTGCAATGTCAGGTATAGTACGTTAATTTTTTTTTTTTTTTACTGATTTAATTGTAAAAAATTAATATTCTCTTCATAAAATGAAAAAAAATTAATCTAACTCAATTTTTTTGAAAAAATAATTTGTTAAAAGATTTGCTTAAAGTAGGTGTTAATTCAGCTATAATTTATTTCAATGATGATACATACGGTCAGACTTAACAGAGTTTTTAAGTTTCCTAATGTAAAATTTGACTTAAATAATTCATTGGCATTTAATCAAAAAGATAAGATGCGTTTAAAAAGATGATATCAAAGTAAAAAAAGAAAAGAAAAGTTAAAAGCATTAAAAAAAGGTTGGTTTGATAATATAAAAGAAACTTCATCACAAAAAGCTTATTTATCTGGTGGATTTTAAATTTTTTATGCTTTTGTATTTTGTTTTTCTTATTTTCTCAGAATAGCATTTTAACGATACTTACTTTGATTTGTAACATGTTATATTAATATTGGTTCAAAAAATTTACTTCAAATTTTCAGGAGTTATTCAAAATAAAGGGAATGAATGTAAAAGTTTTCAAAATTACATTTATTTTTTGTCTTTTTAGTGTTTTGATATAGCTCTACCCTCTAAAAAAAATGCCAAAAGCAAAAAATGTTAAATAAAAAGGCTAATTATTGTTTGTTTCCAAAGATTTTAATTCATTCCATTTATTTCATGGGTTGACAAACAATTGCGAAGTTTCAAAGCTTAAACATTACTATAACTTAAAAAATCGTGTTGCAAGTGGACGTGTGTTGCAAGTGTACGTGTTAAAAGCTTCATTTTCATGTAATTTAGACAACTTTCTGCTTTTTTATGAAGGATCTACATAATTAGCGATATTTTTGTTGCAAGAAATATATGTACTTATTTGAAACAAATGGTGGTTTTTAAAGTTTTGTTACAGTTCTGAAATTTTTTTTTTTTTTTAATGGTTATCCACCTTAAACTATAAATTAATGTAGAGCGCATGCGTTCTATATAATAATAAAAAAAACAAACTAAAATAACTTTTAAAGCGTGTTTATAAAATAATGTGCTGGCTATTAACTTTGCATTTAAAAAATGTATGCATGTCCGTCTTATTTCAGGGTCACTAGGGACATGCGCGTAATCGTACTTACAATATTTACATCGTGGCAATTAACCCAGGACCTTAAAATAAAAACACACAACCTTCGCACGTGCACGAGCATGAGCTTGTGCTCGTATTCAACTATGGTTAAAGATCCATTTTATGTTTTTTATGACTGAGTTTGTAATCAATTCACTATAATTTTATATTGAATGTTAAGTCTCGATTGTTACAGCTGCTTATTGCAGTGTTTACTCAATGATATATTATAACTAGATGTCTAGATCCAAAAAGTGAAGCCGCTTTTTGTCCTTTTTACAAATGGCGGATTAAATTTGTAAACAAATATCATTAACTTTTATTTTCTTAAATGAAGTAAGTATATTTTAAATTTAAATAATATTTGCATAAAAGTGTTAATCGGAAAGTATAATACTTGTAAAATAATAATTTAAGGTTCTTTAAATTATTTTTGATTAAAAAAGGATTAAAGCTGTGAATAGAAAAGTAAAACTACAGACGCTTTTGAAGCATTTTTATCAATTAAAATATAATTTTTAATATACATTTAATATACATTTTAATAAATTAAAATTTTTTTTTTAAGCATTTTTTAATTATTAAAATTTTTTTTGATTATCTTTAAATCAAAACAAATTTTATGTAATGTAAAAAATAATTCTACGGAACTATTAATTTTAAATTAAAAAGTTTATTTTCTATTTTTTAGTACAAAAAGATTATATTTTTAGCAAATGTTTTTGTTATATTTTATTTTCTACTTTTTAGTCTTTATAGAGAGTTACAATATTTAGCAATGCGTTTATCTAGACATGTGTAATTAAGTCGAGCTTTTTATCCTAAAGAAACGTAGTATTTGCTAAATAAAGAAGCGGAATAATTTTTGTTTAAAAGATAATAAATAAAGGGGCGGTATATTTTTCTTTTAAAAGATAAAATTTTTTTATATAAAAGTAAAATAACATAAAGTACAAAT